ATGGGATGGGATGGGATGGGATGGGATGGGATGGGATGGGATGGGATGGGATGGGATGGGATGGGATGGGATGGGATGGGATGGGATGGGGATGGAATAGCTTGAAGGATGGCACAGATACATAAAGCACATACCCTGCAAGCTGCATGGAGTAAAGCATTGTCAGGGCACTGACAGCCTTAAGTTTCTCCCAGCTGAACTTTGAAGAGTGTAGCTTCATGTGCAGATTGRCTTTGGGGGCTTTGGAAAACAGGGATGTGAACAGGCAGTTGGCAAGTCCCACAGGCTCAGCACAGCATATAAAGTAATTGGATTTGTGCTTGGAAGCAAGGAAATGGAAGATGAGCTCCTTGGCTGCTAAACTTGCAGATATTTTGAGTGAGAAGAGAAAAGGCAGACAAGTAGCTAGAAAACACTTCCAAGAAGAGAAACTTGCTGAAAAGAGTTCTGTGCCGAGACTACCATGTAGGTTGTGACGTATATTCTGCAGCAGCTCACAAGTACCCACCATTTTTCACCTCTTTCTGTGGATTTTCTGCAGGTCCAGATGGAAGCTTGGCATTTGGAACCATTAATGTTCTGGAGAATGTGAAGAAAGTCCTGARTCTAAAGAACAGAGGGATGTACAACATTGAGTACAGGTGAGTCCAGCTGCTGGTAGTGAGCATTTCCTCAGGTTCCCAGGCCTGCATTCTCCTTCTGCCAATGGCTAGAAGCTGTTTCCATGCTGGCTACCTTGTGGCAAGTACAAAACCTGGGGTCTGTAATCTCAACTATTTTGGTAGAGAATCCAGCCACAAACCAGCAGTTCATCACAGCTCAGCAGAAATCTAAAGGAGAGGCCCAGAAATTTCAGGGCCTGAAATTTCAGCCAGAAATTTCCAGCCAGGTTCATTGCCTTTCTCTTTCTGAGACTTTGTAAAGGAGTGAATGTAAAACTTCAGTGTTAAGGTTGTCTTGCAGTAACCTTGTGATTGTGTGCACTCTTTGTCAAGATCCAGGATTCCCTGTGAAGTGCTGGACTCTCCCTTTTCTTTTTTTCCTGGTCCTGTGCAAAGTCATGGCTGTGCTGGTGGCACCTATACTTTTAACTGAAGAGGTTCCTTCCCTTTCTCCCCAGTTTCAATCTGAAAGGTGGAGGTCCCAGGATAAAAAGCTTGGTATCCCACTTCACAGTTGAGCCACAGTCAGGCATGCTGATTGCCTCCCAGGCTGGTGTGAATGTTGAGATGATGTTCCACCCTATGGCTGAAATCCTTCTCAAGAACAAACCCATCCTGTTCTGCCAGGTGAGCTGCCTGGGTGAGGCTGTGTTATCACACAGTGTTTTGAGAGCATAAACACGATAGATGTCTTCTGGAAGGATGGCTTTAACTGGGGAATCTTCTCTCCTACATACACAAAGTCTTTCAAAACCATTTGGGAGGCTTCCTCAGCACAGCTGAGAATCTGACTCTGGAAGAAGTGTTTAAACAGGGAGGGTAAACTGTGGAGGCCTTGGGTAGAGGCCAACCTTTTGTTTGCCACCTTTTCCTATGGATGCAGGTGATGGATGCCAGCTCGGGTCAGGGAGGCCAGAGTGTTGCCAGCATCCCAGTGAGGGTGTCAGCAAAAGCTGTGTACAGCAAGTTCAACATTGAGCCTGCCTCGCCCATCAACTTTGGTGCCATGATGAAGGGGACCAGGAAAACCCAGACTATTGTGCTGGAGAACAAAGGAATGCTCATGTTCAAATTCTGCATCTTCCAAGCACCTAAGGATACTTCTGCATTGCCAAGGTGAGAGAAGCCCGGCACCACCCTTCCTGTCTGAGGAGGCACCACCTCACGGCTGGAATGTGGCAGGCAGCCAGGAGGGCTGGGCTATCGTCTGTTTGCATCCCTGGCTCGGGGASAGGGAGCAGGAAAAYGCCTCGGTTACCCCCWCATGTAGCASCAAGCTGGTGATAGAGCTGCTCTGTCCAGCAATGGGGGCTGCAGGCAGCTCTCTGAGAGCCACAAGGAGGAAGGCCAGCCTTGGCCTCAGGAAAGGGCAGG